GTGAAATCAAGCTTGAGAGCTAAAAATCCAAAACGCAAGAAGCAATGCCCGATAAATGGTTTGTTACCGTAAAAATTGATTACAATTCAATTTCGTGTCGGTATTTTTTCCAGTTACTTTTGTAACATAGTATTGTCAGAACACGTCATATAAAGAATGTAAGATTTTCTCTTTAAACGAAATATGTGTGGCGTTAAGATCATAACGAGATATTATAATGTATATGTTCACGACTATTATTCCTGATGGAGTAGTCAGAGGTGCTTGTCGATTTTGTTGTTGTGGATCTTATCACCTAGATTTTGGCGAGTATATTCGATGAGAATAATGTAACCAAATAAAGGAGGGTCGTTTTTCATACACATTACAAATAAGTACTCCATTGACAGAAGGGTTGGCAACCGCAGTTAGTTTTAAAAATGATTTTAGAGGAACGCTGCTGCTCGCCCATCCCTCTATCATTAAGGTTCTTTAGTCGCCTCTTACGACACCCACAGGATAGAAAGGGAGGCCTATTCTATGCCAGTACCACACTGCCATAGAATAAACACAACGTATTAATAATTTCGTATTCGATGACTGTAATTTTATATGAAAACGTCCAAATATGTATCTGACTTATTATTATTTCAGCCATTAACAGTCCACTGCTGAACATAAGCCTTCCCCATAAGGGTGTTTTGCCAGTAGTTGCCACGTTTGGCAGGCAGATTAGCAATCGCAGTTAGGCTTTTAGAGATGTTTTGAGAGATGCTGCTGCCCATCTCTCATCTCTCGCCCTTCCTTAGTCGACACTTACGACACCCACAGGAAAGGAAGAGGTGGCCTATTCTATGCCGGGACCACATTATGACGTCATGTATTTGAATACTTTATCTTAAATGTATTAGGAATAAAAAAAGAATCTCTGAATACACATTTAATTCCGATTGTAAATCAAGGTCAATGAAAGTTTAACGAATAACGTTAAAAAATTTAATTTAATAAAATTTTGTAAAATGATGCAAATAAAATAAATTTTGTTTAGTGACAGAGTACGAATACAACGTTTACAATCCCTTTCATCACCAGGATGTTGTAATTACAACGCTGACAACAACGGATGAATAAAACACAATGTAACAATAAAAACAAAAACTTGTACCTTATAATGTCTCCTAAAGAATGCTAAAATCCTTTTACCACTCTATTTAGGAGACATTACAGTCTTCTATTCAGAAAAGGAAGAATTAGATTAAAAAACTGTTACCATTTGAGATGAATGACATAGAACCTAAACATACTGAATCACTTGAAAGTGCGTATACATATAAGTTCTCCAAATCAAGAATTACATTTGCCTTTACCTGACGTGATTTACTCACATCGTAATAATGAATTCGTGTTATGTATGCACATTTGCATATGTATAACATGTCAGACAATCTACTTAAGGAATTCTCAATAAGGATATTGCTGAAAGTACATAGTTATAAAAACTAAACTACTAAGTTCCAGATTAATTAGCCATTCTTAAAACGTTCCGTCGTTGGTTCGTTGTTTCTTAAATCAGGATCAATACGTGTGTTACAGTTTATCGTTATTGTTGGAAAGACGGTAAAACAAATTTCTTATAAAATTTAAGATACTAGAGTGGACATTGAACTACTAATTAAAAACCAAAAATAAATGAATTTTTTGTAATGTGGTCAATAAAGAATAAATAAATACATGAATGTAGACTCCAAATAGTTGTATGTCAAGGGTAAGAAAAAGGATATATGTTGCTAGTGATAATACGTAGTCATGACATTAGTCTTATGCTGCTATATTCTATGAGTGCTTTATAATAGTACTATATGATTGTATTACTCAGCCAAGCTACTCAGCTAAGCTTAAGAATTGATTATAACTGCAAAATATTGGATCTGAAAGATGTAAGTTAATGTGACAGTGAGCTAGTCGTGATTACCGAGTACAAACAAAAGAATAGCTCGAAACAGTGTCCAAAAGCCTACTAAGTCACTATTTAAATCGCAAACAAATCACTATGCAAAATTACAAAAATAAGTAAAGTAAGGTTAAATGTATATGTACCATAGAATATTAATGGAACCCTTATTAATATTATAAATGTGAAAATAAGTTCGTTTCTTACCTCTTAACATCTTAACACTGCTTAACAAATCACTTAAATTTGATGTACACGCACTATGCGGATGAATAAAGAAATAGAATACCTTTTATCGCAGTCAGTATATTAAGGTTACGTGGCGGAAGTTGTGGGTAAAAATGTAGTATATTTTTCTTGATTTAAAAAGCCACAGATTACAAAAGAAAAAAAAGAGACATAAACCATGCGAAGAGTATATTTTAGTAATTTTTCGAGGTTAGAATCTGAAGTTCGTCAATAGTTATATAGTATCCATGTGGCAAAAAACCACGAAACAGATTACCGCCAGTTGTTAAAAAACAAAGTGAAAATTTCAAATAAAATTCCTGATAACCTTTTTAACGAAGGTGTTCCAGTGAATGAGAATTGGCAAGAAACATGACTTTCATAATATTTGTCTTAAATTATTAATTTTTTTATTCGAGTGAGATATATATGAAATAATTTATGACCTGCGCAGTATACCAAAATATTTATAGTATTTATTAATCAATAAAATTACCTGCTAAAATATTTTTTTATAATATTACGCTCCAGAATATGTAAAAGAATAAATAGTAAGCAGTCTATGGCCGAAGCCTATGTTCAGTAGTAGAGGAGATAACGCCTGATATGACGATGAAGATAATGATGTAAAAGTTGAGCATAATTACAAAATTATCCTCTTAGTTTGTTTATTGACAGTTGGTTAACCGATTTGAAAGGATCTAGGATCTAATTGTGGATTCAGGATAAATGAGTCTCTGTTTAAGACTCTTTTAAACACCGCCGACCAAGTACTTCTTGCATCGTCAGAGTATGAATTACAACAAATGGTGACTATAATGAATAAAGCGTATACAAAAAAAAGGTATGAAAATAAATGCGAAGAAGACGAAGGTAATGGTTTTTGAGAGGAATGAAAGTTTAACGGCATGCCAGATTATGATAGGAGATGAAAAAGTGGAGCAAGTGAGTGAGTTTCTGTATTTAGGTTCATTGTTTACGAGGGATGGAAAGTGTGATAGAGATATTGAAAGGAGAGTAAAAGCGGGAAACAGTGTTAACGGTGCACTGCTCTCGATTATGTCAAGTAAAAATGTATCGAGCAAAGCTCGCCTTGCCATAATTCAAGGAGTACTGACACCAACACTCATGTATGGAAGCAAATCGTGGGTATTGCAGAAAAAGCATGAAAGTAAGATAAATGCTGTAGAGATGAGAGCTTTGAGAAGTATGTGTTTAAAATACTTTAAAAGATAGAGTAAGAAACAGTGTGATTAGAGAGAAGTGTGGACTGAAAGACGATGTAGTGACAAAAATCGAAAAAGGAATGTTGCGTTAGTTTGGTCATTTGAAGAGGATGGATGAAAGAAGAATTACGAAAGAGATTTATGGAGCAAGAATCAATGGAGATGTCGGTAGGGGCCGCCCTAGACGGACGTATGTTGACCAAATAGGCGACGTGCTGAAGAAGGGCCAAATTAAAAGTACCCGTAACCGGCCAGCATGTATGAAAAGATTGATGAATGTGGAAGAAGCGAAAAAAGTTTGAATCGAAACATTTGGCGTTCCATTGTTTCTGCCTACCCTAATGGGAGACAGGCGTGACAGATATTTATGTATGTATGTAGTTTGTTTATTTTAAACAGGAATTATTAGTAATTGAGTTTTATATAAAATCTAACTGCAAGTTTTGTTCTTTCGTTCACTATAATCTATTACACAATTCCGCATGATGTCCCCGCTACTGGAGGTCGCATATAAACCTTAGTGCTATCTATCCATGCTGGATGAATCAAGTATCTACTTAATTCGCCGCGTTTTATACAACACCTTACTGTTGGGAGTCGAATCTCGATCTCCATTCACATTGAATTCACGATTAAACTACCGCATCTCGGTCTCTCCGCACCATTAACACAAACAACTTCGTATCTCTATCCTTGATAGACAGATTAGATTCCGCTCAGTACAATTGATTCTAAACAAGGCCTTTGCCTGTGTTTAGTCGCGTCTAGATCTCCCTGCTATCTAAATATGATAAATAGACCGCTTCCAATACAATACACCGCATTCCGGATAACACCTCGTAGCTGTTAGATATATCTAGATTTCAATGTATTATCAAATCACGTTAAATTTATTACTATTACTAATCTACAGTCCATCAAAGCCGTAAGTGTTATATACAAAAAAATTAATTCAACCATGCTAAATAGATTAGGAGGGAGACTTTGTACAAAAGTCGATTGCTTGGGTACCTCTGTTCCATTCGTGTTTCAACCGTGAAGCAGTTGTGTTTGTATGGCTGTGTTTCAGTTTAAAGGGTGGGATATGGCGTGAATTTACTGGGTACAGAGGAGTAACACCTTAGTCCTCAGGAATGGCAACGCATGGGAGGTATCATGGGCGAAACAGTATACTCTGTTATGTCCATGGTACTGCTCATGTCTATAGGCGATGGTTACTACTTTCCATCAGGTGGGCCGTCAGCTTGTTTGACATTCTAAGTTGTATAAAAAAAATCTATAGTCCATCAAAGCCGTAAGAAATAATTAATAGCTGGTAAAGCACTGCTAAATTCGACCAATAAATTGAAAAGGCAAAGACTTCAAAGTGATGGTAGAGTCTTTTATTCATAATGAAATATCAGACCCCCTATATTTATAAATATGTCCTCAGAATCGCGTTTAGTTTCTAGAAGGTACCCTTCTAGTACTACAGGGAATGTGTAAATCTGGGTAATACACACAGATTTCTAACTGAAATAGACAAAACTTAGGCGTAAATAAATAAAATCTTACGCGGTTATTTTCGTGGTGTGATGCAATGATGAACCTTGAACATATAACAGATTTGCACGTACCTGTACATCGAAGGGTTGGTGGTGCTGTGCAGAGTCCGGCGCTGGCTGCACGACGGAGGCGCCGTTGACGAGGCTGGCCCCGGCTGCGCCCACGCCGCCTACCCCACCCACGGCGCCCACAGCCCCGACAGCGCCCACGCCGCCCACACCACCTACTCCGCCCACGCCACCGCTAGCACCACCCACACCGCCCACGCCGCCGCCGTACTGCGCACAAACATACTGGTGTGACTATAATTTCCTTAATACAACTGGAAATGTAAAAGTAATAATAGATGCTTATAGACCTTAAAGACACAAACAGCATCATCAGATAAACATCACAAAAACCACTGCACTTTCCAATAATACCCTTCATGCATGTCATTTCTAGTCAGTAACTTATTTCCCACTCATAAAATTAAAATGACATGGAAAGCTGAGTTATGGAGCCAGAGCCAACTAAGACTTAGGTAACCAAATCTCCACACGAGACCACGATTATTTTCTAAGACTATGACTTCCAGCTTATTTGTTCCTAGTCTGTTAATCAATAGTTCTAATGAATTCTGTGTCACAGATATTCTTACTAGACTTTAAAATATTCAAATAAAAAGTTTGTTTGGCTTTAGTGTAGTGTATCACTATGGATCAATGGGCTTGATTCTGAGGCACCATTTCTCTAAACTTACCTCTGATATTATTTCAAGACCAATACGAACCTATTTTCAAATAGAGCGAAATATTTAAGTGAAAGTCATTATATTTTTAATTTACAATAGTCCACAAAACAGTAATTCCACGAAATTATCAAATTAAAATATGAAGTAAAAAAAAAAAGTTTAAATAAAAGATGCTTCAAGCTTAGCCCCAATGACTCATATATACAGCATCATATCATCCGTTTTTAAAAACAAATATAAAAAATAAAAACGTAATTAGTATGGTGAGTGCAGACAAGCGTAGCATAGGGCGACCCCATGCGAAATGAAATGACGATTTTAAATATTGCAAGGTGTCGCTGGATAAAAGCGGCGCAGACTACTTTGTGGCTGTACTGTAATGAAGGGGAGACCTATGTTTAACAATGGACAATGAATAAGTGATAATGATGATGCATTATTGTAGTAGAAGCGAAACATGACATGCTGAACATCTAATCCAGAACCTGACTCAAATACAATTTCGTCTTAATAATGCATTTGAAAAAAAATAAAATCAACAAAAAGGATTGTAGAGTAGTAATTCATAAAATTTACACAATGATAACATGTACCATCGCATCAAGGTATCATCGAGTTTAACTAACACAGGAAACGACATTGATCAAGCACCTTATACCTACACACTTGATAAGGCTCTGTCTGCAGTTTTCCTCTTTCCGAGATTTAAATTACCACATTGAGGAAGCTGTTAAGTAATTTCAATGCTATACATACCAAAATCGTGCAAAGGTTGAATATTGAAAACCATTTTCTACAATTAAGAAAAGTGTATGGAAGAATGGGTAAAGGCATTAAGCATAAGCTGTATTCCAAATCAATTTAAAGATGTTAAAACAATTTTCCATAATTGATTCAATTATGTTCAACTATTCTCAGGTTATTTTTCAGTGGACTTACCTGTTGTGTACTTGCAAAGCTGTTGTTATCAAACTGAGGATGTTGCTCCATTTGTAAAACGAGTTCAATGTGTTGATTCATAGAGTCGTTTAGTGTCATGCCTGAAACATATAATATGGTTAGTTCCATAACTTAATTGTAATTAATACAAAATTTCGAGTTAACTTTTCAGTCATATAACTTACCAGGGTGGATTTGAGGATGTTGTGGGTGTGGTAAACCTTGCAGTGGTGCTACACCCAGCATCCCAGGATGATGCTACAAGAGAAACAACATTATAGATGATATTATGTATGATCATGGTAATTCAGAACTTTAATTGTTTAATACTACAGTCACTAATATAATTTCTTTTCACTATGGTGACAGATTCAATGGCAAGTTTCTGTGCTGTTCATCGCTTATATGTTCTAATTTTCAGATAATCATCACTAAGAAACTCATTTGGAAATTTACAAGCAACAGTATTAAATTTTTATTAGAACTGACTTTCCATACAGTGGAATTAAAGAATATGGACAGATTTTTAAGTTTTATAGTAATAGCACAAAATTTTATTTAAAATAATTATCAGTACAAACATGATTAACAAATATCTAACATCGATTATTAAATATTTACTGAAGAAGGCTATATATAAGCTACATAAAATCACGCTATGACCAATAAGAGCGGTATCAATTAAAACTGTTGCAAAAACGGGGAAAATTAATCCTTTTAAGAAGTTTCATTGCAGAAGAAGTTGGGCGGATCATCAACTAGTTTATAATATTAATAGGGTTAACTATATCCCAGAACTTTGCCCGTTCATATTGAAATAAAAAATATAATGTGGTCTATCTTTGTCCCAGACATCATTCAAATTAATTTTTATAGCTGTCATCTGAAGCTATTTTCTGGACAAGCAGTAGAACTTATAAGGCAGTCCCACTTGTATCTCATTCTATTAACTAATTGGCCCGACTTAATCCTCATTTGATAATCGGACATTGTGTAGATGTTATCATTGTATTAGTATTCATTAAAAAAAAACCAACCTGTGGGTGTGAGATGTGTTGCAGATGGTGCAGCGGCTGCGGCTGCGGCTGTGGCAGCGCGTGCGGTGGCAGCAGCGGGAAAGCACCCGCGTCGCCGTTGCGGACAGCGCCGCCTCCGCCACCACCGCCGCCTCCGCCGCCCACACCGCCCTCCTCCTCTGCCGGTGACGGCTGTCGCGAGCCCGGGGTGCGGCTGAAGGTATAAGAGCATTAAAATATAAATATGAATACTTACCGCCGTATTCTATGACACCAACTGTTAAAATATTTAAGTAATTCTATAAATTTATTATAAATAATTTTCTTATAGATTAATAATGTAAAAAAACCCCAAAACGTGACAAACCAGTTTTTAAGGAACAGTTAATTGGTTGAGATCATTGACAATTCCATTTTAGTCATATAAAAAGTACCACATATATTTAATTTGATCAAATCAAATCATATTTGATGAAACATGTTCTTCCCGATATTATGTAGAAAAAAATAGTTAAAAAATAAAAGAGACTAAACTGTATGCAAGTTACTATAGGGGTAATTTTTAACTAAAAATTTTGACTGTACACTGTACTATGCTATCAGTAACTATATTCTTTTCTTTGACACTCAATAATAACCTTATAACAATTTCACATTATATAATATAATTAGAATTTCGCAACATTCCTCTCCTTTTTTCTTGTAAAAGGTGTGAACTCAAGAAGCGCCATCTCTTCTTCAAAATTTTGCATGTTGCTATTAGCAAAACACACAGTTTTATATAATGATTAAAATTTTAATGTAACCAATAAACACTTTATTATTAAAACGACAGAAGATAATAAAAAATAGAAGTTGGGAAATATATAAATAAAATTACCTACATTTTTAACATTAATTCTTACTATAAAGTACATTACATATATTTCTTTCCTTCAACTTTTGGACTACACAAATAGAAAAATAATGAAACATTTCATTTTTTTTAACATTTGTTATTTATTGATCTTTGGTTTGTGATATGAACTAAATGTGATCACACTATTATTTACTTATTAGACCCACCGCTTTTAACAAATCAAGTCTTATCAGATTATTTAATTTAGATAAAGTACAAAAACAAATAACGCATTGATCACTAGTGCATGTTAGATATGGATACCCCAAATAATAAGGAAAGTTATTATCAAATAATTTCATAATAACGATAAGATGATAAAAGATTGCGTCTGGGTTGCGTCTGAGCATATTGAGCGGCGGCAGTTGGTGGCGTACGGCGGCGGCGGGGCGGGCGAGTGGCATTGACAGAGGCCATGATCCACAGCGAGCGGTTATTGCCCGCACGACCTGCCCGCTGCTCGCACGCCGCGGAGGCGAGCGTTTTAGCAACAAACACGTTAGCCGACCTTCGAAACACTTTTTTTAATTTCTATCAAATATCATATTGGTTTTATTGATAAAGCAAAACTATATTTAAGGACAGTAGACGACGAATGACTGATACCCTGCCCCTTATCCCATAACATTGTGGATCGACGTAATAATGATTTATATAGTATCAATCGGTTTACGTCTTCCGCGATATTTTCATAATAAATTCTGATCACGCTTGCCGACCTTCGAAACGCTTTTTCTATATCCATTAATAAATCATAGATTTCGTCAATAAGATCAAATGACGTTTAAGGGTGATAATCCACATTATGGAGATTTTTCACTTCATCCTAGTTACTTTTTTAATTATAATTGCCATTTTTTTAAACAACATAAAATAACAATAAATACAAATGTTTTAGTTAATACGATTTACATGAAACGTATAATAATACTAGCTTATTCGCGCGACTGCGCTCACGAGTTCATTCGTATGTATGAAGTTCGGTTATATTGCAACCCCACGTTATATATCTTTACCTTTCTTATTTCTTTACTTTCTTAGGAGAACGGGTTTTAAAAAAACACATAAAACACATTACTTAAAAAAAAATTTTAAAACTAAATTTGAAACTTTACCTAACTTAAAATTTACATACTTTTCATTTAAATCAAACCATCTTCCTCTTTCCAACAATTTCCAAAAACATTAAACTTTTTTTGTTTTTAAATAAAAACTAAATACAAACTTTCATATTTCTCATTTCAAAAAACATCCCTATATGAATTTTCGGGGATGAAAATTTCTACCATGTATATTTAAATTAAAAGTCTAAAACTAGTTTTGTATTTGTAACTTCAATTATAACAGAATTTCCATACAAACTTTTACCCCCTTTTTCACCACTTTAAAGAGTGAATTTTCGAAAAATCAATGAATTTATTTATATTTTAAACCAAGAGCCTTAAATTTTAAACTTCGAACTCCCTTTTTTAGGGGTTTAATTTTCACAATTATTTTATTGTTTACCTACACTATATAAAAACCTGCTGGCAAAATTTCAAGATTCTACTGTGTGTCGATATACAGGTCAGTTAATCAGTCGATCAGCATCCTCTTTTATATATAATTTTCTATTTTGTTTTGTAAGTTACAACCAACATAATAATAAAATAATTGTATAAATAATAGTATTACCAGAATGAATACATTATTTTACAAAATTGTACTCACTTAAAAGCCTTGTCATCTTCTTGTCCATTGTGTAATCCATTGGGCAAAGAGCCGTGCTCATGTAGTTCATGCAGATCTTTTTCAAACGGTGAGGCAGATTTATCTTCAGGGCGCTCCTCTAAAACCATCCCGCGTAACCCTGCCACCACACCCGTCACCTTTTCACCCCCACCGCCAGTCGCTACACCGCCAGCTTCTGAATATTTACGAAAAAAGAATACTTATATTAAAAAAAAATTGGAAATGTGACAAAATTATATCGGACCAATATAGATAAAAAAAATTTAAAATATATCGGAATAATCTTTGCGAAATTATAAATATATCGAAACTGAAAAAAAAAGTTAAAATGAGAAATTAATTTTTTTATTCACTTAAAATTTAAAGTCGTATACTATATTCATAAATTAAAAAGAATAATGAAAGAGTTGAATGATGATGCGTGCTCAATGTCAAAAAACCTACATAAGCATACAAAAAATAAATTTGATACTAACATAAAATTATATGAAAATATAGTATATTCTTCCTTAGGTTAGTTGACAAACAATCTTGTTTTATCTTTGTTCCAAGAAATCATTAATTCATCATAATTTCAATAAAAAAGGGTTGTCAAGATTATTAAATAATACTAAGATTTATTCAATAATGCTAAGGAATAAAATATAATTTACCTGTTGGTGATCCTCCAAGTACATATTCAACCATCTTCACCCCCAGGCCGGCTGCGTCGCGAGGAGACAAAATGCAGCCGGCATCGCCCCCGGGGAATGCGACGCCACGTCTTGTGCCCATCATCGGGACACCTACATTGTGTTCCACTGCTAAAAAAACAAAGTGCTAGTTGCAGATACTAAACACATTTATCTGACACACTATGTTCTTTATTGAAATGTAGAAGAAAATTAGAAAAATAAGTTTCGCTTTTTATTGTAAACAATGTGTCTAACATTCACAAGTTAAAAAAAAAATCCACTTTATTTTGTTTAACTACATACTAGTTAACTCAGCAATAGTTGTTTTTGCCCCTACTGTCATCTATCAAAAATGTAGAATACAGTCAGTAATTTATAATACACTTTCTTAAAAATCTATACATAAATAACATCACTACAGTACCTTGAGCAGACCAAGTTGGATCACGCCACATTTGTTCTGGGTTCAATTGCAATGGTGGAAGGTGCGGAGGTCCCTTACTATCGCCACCCGCTCCGGGGCCTTTATCCCATAATTTCTTTGCAGCAGGTGCAATCTAAAGACAAAATATAATAATTGTAAAATTCTTTTAGTACAAATAATGTATCTTATTGCCCGCTAAAACTAAGAAGGAGTTCATAATAAGCAAAAATTGCAATAAATTAGTATAAATACGCATTTTTGTAATTTACACTTTACCTAAAGTTTGACAGATAACTAACAAATTGTATTTTCTTGTACCAGAACCTATTTCTATAACTACAGTGAAACCTGGTTATGTGAGACATTAAGGGACCTGTAAATTGCTTACTTATATAGGTATTTCACTTAGCCAGTGTCTTAGATATCTAGGTATAAATCCAGGTCTGTCTATTTACAGAGAGTTCAAATTATAGAGGTCAGAATACAGGTTATTTCAGTTATGGAGGTGTGATTATTAAATAATGTATTTATCTAATCATTATATATGAGTTTTAATCTTTATTAGAAACGAAAAAAAAAATATATTAAAGGTAATAAACAAAAATATTCAATCACTTTTTTTTATAAATAGTACAAAAATGTAAACAGAATGTATTCATTATAAAAATCAGTCATTTTAGTTTATCTTTTGGAAGTACCTGCCATAGATGTTTTTCCAAGTTATAAATTTTATCAAATATGCTTTGGTCACCTCAAACTTGTCATTTCAAAAGGTTCAAAAGGATAGGTGATATATTGATGTTGTCACAGTTACAGAGGTTAATGCATATTAAATTCACTTGCTGTCTCAGTTATAGAGGTAACTATGACAATAAAATTGAAAAAAAAAAATAGATCTCATAGAGGTTTGCTTCATCCCACTAACAGAGGTAATTCAAAATGTTGAGACCTCAGCATGAATTTCAGTTATGGAGGTTTCTCACTTATCCAGGTCCTACTTAACAAAGTTTCAATGTATCTAAAATCAATACATAATTTTAGATAATAATTTCACATATGAAAAAGAGATTGACTTTAATATTTAATAAGTGCAGACTGCAAGCTTCTTTACCTGCCATATTTGGCCATTGACTGAGACAACAATTCTTCGAATAATAATGTGTGTTAGTACAGTATATATGCAACTAGTTGTATCCTATGGCTTCATATGGTGATTGTGTCATGATGTTGAATATCCTATAACTGTCTTCAAGAAATCAGCTATTAAATAAAAATAAAAAAAATATATCTGATTCATATTTCCAGAGATTAGGATATTCAAACAGATAAACTGCTTTGTTAATATATATATATATATATATATATATATATATATATATATATATATATATATATATATATATATATATATATATATATATATATATATATATATATATATATATATATATAGTTTTTAGTGAGTGCATTGGTAAACCTGTAAAACTCACTAAAAATATGTATATATATAAATAAATAAATCAATATATATTTATGTATTTAAAACTGGAGAGTTCAGGTTATTTTTTACTCCATTATTTAGTTTTACACATCATGGCATCACCAGCTGTCATATCAGCTGTTTACACTTTTGTAATATTACATTTACAAAGATTATTTTTTTAATTTTGACAAATTTAGTATGGAATTAACGAAAATAATAGTCCTTACTTCTTTTAACAACAATATTTTGCACTGCAATTAAAGGTATTTTAATTTTGATAAAATAAATATTCACTAATTATCTGATTATTCTTATTTTGTTGCATAAGAATGAAAAGATTTTAATTTAATCACCAGAAATATGTCTACTAGTTTACATTTTTTCTTGCGGAAAGCAGGATTTTATCCAGAAAGAAAAGAAGCAGCTTCAATAATCACAACATTAATATGAGTAAGACATAGAGGCAAGTAACCCCTTCGACTGCATAAATAATTTTCAAAATCGATTTAAATTGGAGAAGAATTTATGTAACATGAACATGTCTGTCTATAATATAAGTAGATCACATTCCACAAAACAAAAAACATAAACACCTACTTCAATTATGGCAAAACATGTTATTTTGATTTAGAAACAAAACTCAATCAATGTTGATGTAATTTTTATGGGACCAATCTGAAAGTGCATGCTTTCAGATAAAAAGAATTTTCCAAATTGGTTTATAAAAGAGGGAATACTGAGATAAGAATTGAAAAAAAAAAAAAACAATGACTTGAGGAGCTTTTCCGTTTTAAAATCAGTTAACAAAACATGTAATATAAAAATAGACTAATTTGAAATTTTCTGTATGAAAATTGCTTAAAAATGAAATAACAATAGACCATTACCAACTTAAAACTTGATATGATTTATGAAACTGAATAACTTACTCCAAGGATCTCAGACCTTGGTAACAGGGTAAAAAACACTGTATGTATGTGTGCAAACCATCAATATGCCAATATATGACATTCATAAAAAAAAAAAACATGAATTCAGCTAATTATATAAAATTTATAAATGGCAATTTTAAAGTCACTGGAACAGAAATACGGAACATTCCATATAAATATAATTGTAATTGTATTTAATGAACTTGACTACAATCATTATAATTGGAAAAGGATAAATAAAATACTTTCAGAAAAGGCAGTCTTTTAACAATGTTTTCCTATAGGTACAATGGTTAAGGTATTTACTTTTAACATCACACCTCATAAATGCATCTTGTTTTACATCACACAAATACTGTAATATTATAGTTATTGGCTCAATTTTCAAAATTGAATAAACAAATAAATATATATTTATATAATTTTTTTTTTTATAAACCAACATTTATGTAAAAGTCAAAATTTTACTTTATATCTGTGATTTTATAAAACAAAAATTTTTTAATTACTTAATCATCATAATGATTAAATAATTAATACTTAATGTACTTTATTAACATGATTTATTGTTTAAATCTTAGGATAGGTACCTATTGTGAAGGGTTTTTTTATACCACAAAGGTGGCAAACAAGCACACAGCTTAGCTTATAGAAAATAAAACTAACAAGGCCAAAATTATATACAAAAATTTTCATAAGGAAGCGACAACAAAAACACATATCAAGATCATGTCAAGAGTTTAGGCATGTATGTAGAAAAAGTATTGACTGTAATATTGTAATTCCACTCGTAATGCTAACAAAACATTAATTACAATATTATGACGATATTTTTTCGAAAAACTAGTTCAATTTTGTGTCGAAGCCGTCAGTCGATGCTCAATTAAACACCTACGGCCGGTGAACAAATTCCCAACCAGAAATGGCGGACGCCGGTGACAAGTAAACAAAACAAAAACGGACCTGTTGCATAGAAAAAGCAAGAATTTCGTCATTTCATGACTTAAAATAATGTTTCCAATATTTGATTTGTAATAAATGACCCGTAAACTCACCATGTCGGGGCCCATATCCTTAACATCAGTTTCGAAAAAAAAATCACTCAAGGGTTTCATGCGTACAACCACCTAAAGCTCGGTCATGTACATAGAGCGAGAGCTTATCGTGAGAAATATTACACTTTCCACATTAAACACTTTAGTCATTTGATAAATTCACTAAACACGACGATATTATATCACATTTCTTACACTAAAATGTTATAAAGCGGAGAAATAAAGCTAGAAAGATCGAAACTCAAACGACACAATGTTGACTTGTTTCGAACAAAGGACGTACGCCGATCACAGCGCCTGCGTTAAACCCTCGTTCGTGAACGGGAGCGTCGTTGTTCGCTCGTCCAATGTGAAGTTTCATCTTGACTTTGACAGATGGCGCGCAACGTAAAATAAACGACTCCATGAGTGTATCAAAACAGAGGCAAAAGCATTGAACTTCTATATCCTATCTATGGCCGAAAGCAAAAGCAAATCTTTTTCGGAGGTTAAGGTTATTTGAGAATGTTAGGTATATTTATGTATCAAAACAATATGTTAATAATTAAATCATAGTTGTTTAAACATTATAAATCGGCTTCGTAATTACAAAACGCCTTGATGTCCGTAAATTATTGACATATCTATGTATACAAAGTATGTAACTAAGTACTTGCACTCTTTCCGCAATTTTTATTTCACTTGTGGGTTCTAGATTTTTTATTCATTTTCAACAAGATTCGCTACAAAAAATATGTTTAGCGTGTAAAGTTACCTTATTTTAATACCATATGTAGGTACCTGTCTATGTAAATTCATCTCCAGAATTTCTGAGCAGATTTGCTTAATAATTATTACTTTGTAAGGGTTCCAGGACCGTTTAGTACAATTGGCTTTGGATTTGCAATTGATTGTTTAATATAAACATATACCTATATATGTAGATATGTTAAAGAAAAAACTGATACATTAATTTTATTGTATTAACGAATAATGCTATGTTAGCGATAACGACCACGCCGATGACCTTCGTGGCGTAGTGATAGACACATTGCTTTGCATAATTAAGCTGAGGGGTTCGTTTCTTGCTCAAGTCAATTTTAAAAATGAACATTTCTGAAATGGACCGAGTGTGGACATTTTGGATTGAGCACGATGTCTGATTACTTATAACACAAGATACTTTTTTTGAATAGATGATAATAGAACAGTAACCACGCCTGCGTTATCAGTATATACTTGGGGGCACAAGTGAGGGATAATAGGTGAGAATGATGGAAGTCAGTTGGCCCATCGTGACGAATCAATAATAAATGCTGGTTTTCAAGGAGAACCGCGTAGAGGTTGACCTGTTAAAGTATATTGCTAGCAATGGGGTTGCAAAGTATGTGTATAAAAAACGTTTATAAATAAAGAACTGTTAAGAAACCTGGAATTTGACATCCGGGCAATAGCATAAGGAAAAAAATGAGGGTGCTAATCTTCATTACTAACAATCCTTTTTCTCCCAAATAGGTTAGGAACCTAGGATAAAAAAACATATTATATATAAACCTATCTATTTCAAAAAAATAACATGCATGAGGATTAATGAAGACCATTGCTAACAATATACGTAACTTGGCCGACCTCCAAGGCGGTTCCCTCGGAAACCATCGTGCTAAATTCCAGATGTATTCATCAT